TGTTCGAGACCTTGCACTTTACCTTCCAAGCCAGGACGGTAGGTTGGTAAAGTCAAGCATCCTAGTGTTTGATGATGCACCACATTATAAAAGCAGAATCCAGGGGAATATTGGTGTGCAGATGTTGGTTGATCTCAGCCAGTGCTACCTAGGGAAAGACCATGGATTTCACACTAAGTTGATAATGCTCTTTCCTCAAAAACTTAGACCTCGTTTATTGAGCAGTATACTTGAAGAACAGTTAGATGAAGAGACTCCCAAAGTTTGTCAGTTTGGAGCGTTGTGTTCTCTTCAGGGAAGATTGCAGTTACTCTTATCTTCTGAACAGTTCATTACGGGACTAATTAGGATTATGAAGCATGAAAATGATAACGCTTTCCTGGCCAATGAAGAAAAAGCCGTAAGACTTTGCAAAGCCCTAAGAGAAGGCTTGAAAGTGTCCTGTTTTGAGAAGCTTCAAACAACGTTAAGAGTTAAAGGTTTTAATCCTATTCCCCACAGCAGAAGTGAAACTTTTGCTTTTTTGAAGAGATTTGGTAATGCAGTCATCCTGCTGTACATCCAACATTCAGACAGTAAAGACATTAATTTCCTATTAGCCTTAGCAATGACACTTAAATCAGCAACTGACAATTTGATTTCTGACACTTCATATTTAATTGCTATGCTAGGATGCAATGATATTTATAGGATCAGTGAGAAACTTGACAGTTTAGGAGTAAAATATGACTCTTCAGAACCATCAAAGCTGGAACTTCCAATGCCAGGCACACCAATACCTTCTGAAATTCATTACACTCTGCTTATGGACCCAATGAATGTTTTTTACCCAGGAGAATATGTTGGGTACCTTGTTGATGCTGAAGGTGGTGATATCTATGGATCATACCAGCCAACATATACATATGCAATTATTGTACAAGAAGTTGAAAGAGAAGATGCTGACAATTCTAGTTTTCTAGGAAAGATATATCAGATTGATATTGGTTATAGTGAATATAAAATAGTTAGCTCTCTTGATCTGTATAAGTTTTCAAGGCCTGATGAAAGCTCTCAAAGCAGAGACAGTGCTCCTTCTACACCAACCAGCCCTACAGAGTTTCTTGCCCCTGGTCTGCGAAGCATTCCTCCTCTTTTCTCTGGTAGAGACAGCCACAAGACTTCATCTTTAAAACATCATTCCCCCAAAAAGCTTAAGGTTAATTCTCTACCAGAAATCTTAAAAGAAGTGACATCAGTGGTGGAGCAAGCTTGGAAGCTTCCAGAATCAGAACGAAAAAAGATTATTAGGCGGTTGTATTTGAAATGGCACCCTGACAAAAATCCAGAGAATCATGACATAGCTAATGAAGTTTTTAAGCATTTGCAAAATGAAATCAACAGATTAGAAAAACAGGCTTTTCTAGATCAAAATGCAGACAGGGCCTCAAGACGAACATTCTCAACCTCAACATCCCGATTTCAGTCTGACAAGTACTCGTTTCAAAGATTTTATACTTCGTGGAATCAAGAAGCAACGAGCCATAAATCTGAAAGGCAACAACAAAATAAAGAAAAATGCCCTCCCTCAGCTGGACAAGCTTACTCTCAAAGGTTCTTTGTTCCTCCCACTTTCAAGTCAGTTGGTAATCCAGTTGAAGCACGGAGATGGTTAAGACAAGCCAGAGCAAATTTTTCAGCTGCCAGAAATGACCTTCATAAAAATGCCAATGAATGGGTGTGCTTTAAATGTTACCTTTCTACCAAGTTAGCTTTGATTGCAGCTGACTATGCTGTGAGGGGAAAGTCTGATAAAGATGTAAAACCAACTGCACTTGCACAGAAAATAGAGGAATATAGTCAGCAGCTTGAAGGACTGACAAATGATGTTCACACATTGGAAGCTTATGGTGTAGACAGTTTAAAAACAAGATATCCTGATTTGCTTCCTTTCCCACAGATCCCAAATGACAGGTTCACTTCTGAGGTTGCTTTGAGGGTGATGGAATGTACTGCCTGTATCATAATAAAACTTGAAAATTTTATACAACAAAAAGTGTGAAAGTATTTAAAGAAAAAAA